TCTCCTCCTGCCTTCAATCTTTCCCAACATCAGGGTCTTTTCAAATGAGTTAGCTCTTCGCATCAGGTGGCCAAAGTATAGGAGTTTCAGTTTCAGCATCAATCCTTCCAATGAGTATTCAGGACTGATTTCCTCTAGGATGGATTGGTTGGATCTCCTTGCAGTCCAAGGGATTCTCAAGAGTCTTCTCCAACACCACAGTTCAAAAGCATCAATTCTTCAGTGCTCAGCTTTCTTTATAGTCCAACTCACATCCATACATGACTACTGGAAAAACCATAGCCTTGACTAGACGGACCTTTGTTGGCAAAGTAATGTCTCTGCTTTTTAATGTGCTGTCTAGGGTCATAACTTTTCTTCCAAGAAGCAAGTGTCTTAATTTCCTGGCTGCAGTCACCATCTGCAATGATTTTGGAGCCCAAAAAATAAAGTCTGTCACTGTTTCCACTGTTTCCCCGTGTATTTGCCATGAAGTGATGGGACCAGATGCCATGATCTTAGTTTTCTGAATGTTGAGTTTTAAGCCAACTTTTTCACTCTTTTTTTTTTTTTTCATGAAGAGGCTCTTTAGTTCTTCACTTTCTGCCATAAGGGTGGTGTCATCTGCATATCTGAAGTTATTGATCTTTCTCCCTGCAGTCTTGATTCCAGCTTGTACTTCATCCAGCCCAGCGTTTTTCATGATGTACTCTGCATATAAGTTAAATAAGCAGGATGACAATATACAGTCTTGACGTACTCTTTTTCCAATTTGGAACCAGTCTGTTGTTCCATGTACAGTTCTAACTGTTGCCTCCTGACCTGCATACAAATTTCTCAAGAAGCAGGTCAGGTGGTCTGATATTCCCATCCCTTTAAGAATTTTCCAGTTTTTTGTGATCCACGTAGTCAAAGGCTTTGGCACAGTCAGTAAAGCAGAAGTAAATGTTTTTCTGGAACTCTCTTGCTTTTTCGATGATCCAACAGATGTTGGCAATTTAATCTCTGGTTCCTCTGCCTTTTGTAAATCCAACTTGAACATCTGGAAGTTCACGGTTCATGTACTGTTAAAGTCTGGCTTGAAGAATTTTGAGTATTACTTTACTAGCGTGTGAGATGAGTGCAATTGTGCGGTAGTTTGAGCATTCTTTGGTATTGCCTTTATTTGGGATTGGAATGAAAACTGACCTTTTCCAGTCCTGTGGCCACTGCTGAACTTTTCAAATTTGCTGGCATATTGAGTGTAGCACTTTCACAGCATCATCTTTTAGGATTTGAAATAGTTCAACTGGAATTCCATCACCTCCACTAGCTTTGTTCATAGTGATGCTTCCTAAGGCCCACTTGACTTCACATTCCAGGATATCTGGCTCTACATGAGTAATCACACCATCACGATTATCTAGGTCATGAAGATCTTTTTTATATTGTTCTTCTGTGTATTCTTGCCACCTCTTCTTAATATCTTCCGCTTCTGTTAGGTTCATACCATTTCTGCCCTTAATTGAGCCCATCTTTGCATGAAATGTTCCCTTGGTATCTGTAATTTTCTTGAAGAGATCTCTAGTCTTTCCCATTCTATTATTTCCCTCTATTTATTTGCATTGATCACTGAGGAAGGCTTTCTTATCTCTCCTTGCTATTCTTTGGAACTCTGCATTCAAATGGGTATATCTTTCCTTTTCTCCTTTGTCTTTTGCTTGTCTTCTTTTCATAGCTTTCATAGTGAGGCCTCCTCAGACAACCATTTTGCCTTTTTCCATTTCTTTTTTTTGGAGATGGTCTTGATCTCTGCCTCCTGTACAATGTCACGAACCTCCATCCATAGTTCTTCAGGCACTCTGTCTATCAGATCTAACCCAGTAGCAGGTGGTTTTTCACACTGCTCGCCATGCCTGATTCTGAACTGAGATCTCGGGACTGCCGCCAGCTTGGTGTGAGCCTTCCCCTTACCCATGATGCTGGCCAAGCCTGAACATCACAGGCCCGCCCCTTTGCTCCAAAGCACAAGTGTGACAAGCTCAGCACCACAGAGCCCGCCGAGGCAATAGGGCATGGTGCGGTCTGTTGCCCAGAGGAGAAGGCATGCCCCAACTTTGGCTAAGGAGACTTCAGACTTTTAAAGGAGAAACGGGAAGCTCATGATTAATATAAAATGTCTGCATTTCTTAAACATAACTGAGGCCAACAAGCCTTGTCCATGCACCATCTCCTTGGCCACCAAGTTGTGACCTCAGGTCCAGCCTTGGTCCTGGTCAAACTACAAATACTCCTGGGAGAGAGCCTTTGTATCTATCTTAAGACATTTAACAGTAATATTGTTGCAAGAATGCCTGGGTTTCAATACCAGCTGCCTAACTGTAGGACCTTGGGCAAATTACTTACCCTGTCTGTGCCTTCATCTCCTCATCCATAAAATGGCAATACAACTTTTGATGTAACCATCAGACTTACTACAATACAATTGCTACTCCTTTAAAGAACGTTAAGTATCTATGCAGAAGGTCAGTCAATATTATGGTTAAGTGTAGACTCTGGTGTCAAGTAGAACTCAGTTCAAATCCCACTCCTGCTATTATCCTGCAGTCGACCTTGGGCAGAGCATACAATCCTCTGAGCCTCTGTCCTCACGTGTAAAGGTATGAGTGGAAATCATTCTCTAGTGCATCACATTGTTTTGAGGGTTCTTGATGTTAGTAAGTCACTAGCATGGAGCATGGTGTAGGCTGAGTCCTCATTAAAAGGTAGGGGTTACCACACTGCAGGCTGGTGAGTGGAAGGAGTGGAGGTCTAGGAGGCAGAGGTGTGGGTCAGTGAGCCTGGGAACGGGGAGGCATGCGGGAGGGTGGGGACAAGGGATGTAACCGGGCCAGCTCCCCACTGAGCAGAGATCCAGCCCTCCTCCCCCACTCAGCCCGAGGTCGCAAACAGGCCTTGCCATGTGCAGGCAGAAGCCAGAGAGACACAGCTGTCAAAACACTGTGAAGGAGAGGCAGGCCTTCCAAAACTGGTGGGGGTATGGGAATGGGCCCGTACTAGGGCCCTCCGCTCAGTGAGCCAAGGACACACCGAGAGGCGCAAGGAAACATCCTCACACCTTCCTTCTCAGGAGGCTGCTGAAGGGCCTGCCCCACTGGCCACATGCTTCCTCCTGGAGTCCCCGCCACCATGATGCCTCTGCTGAGTGCACTTGTGTCTCAGGGAACTACATTTCCCAGGCCCCTTTGCTGTCCCGTTTCCTGGAAGGCTGTCGGCCAATGAGAGGCCCCGATGGGGATCCAAAGGCGTGAGGAAGGGAGAAACCAGGGTATATCTCCTTCTCTCCCCGTGCTTCCAGGAGCATCTTTGGCAGACGCTTGGCCTTCCCTGCGTGGCTCTAACTCCCACTGGAAAACCCCTCCCTCTGTGATCCTAGCTTCTCCTGGGCAGCCCCAGTGTCTCGCCCTGGTAACACCAGCTCCCATTGTCCTGCCACCCCTAAATTGGCAGCAGCTTCCTGCAGTTGCTAACCTCCGGGTGGTCTCACCATCCCCTGCTTGTTGTCTCAGCTCTTCCACTGTCTATGTGGCTAAGTCCCAGGATGAAATTACCCCAGTCCAAAAGACCTCAGAGGTTCCTGTCTCCTGGCTAGACCTGGCTGGGGTGGTAGCTGATACTTGAGTGGACCCATTATGTGCAGATACATGCAAAACTGTTCTCGCCTCACCTTAATGGATGGGCATGTTCTCTGAACCAGGAAATGAGTCAGATTCAGGCCCATTTTTTGCCAGGTCCAAAGCCTGCATTCTTTCCTAGTGAAGAATGACACCAGGGCATTTGCACTGAAGTTCTCGCTACATTTCTGTCTTGACACCACTATTCATCATACAGGTCATTTAATTCTTCTGAGCTTCAGTTTCCTCATCTGTAAAAGGTGGGACGTTATAGCACCTCCCTCCAAAGATCACTGTGAGATTTAAATGAGATTAATGCTAAGACTGTTGGATGGCATCATCGACTCATTAGACATGAATTTGAGCAAACTCTGGGAGATGGTGAAGGACAGGGAAGCCTGGCATGCTGCAATCCATGGGGTCGCAAAGAATCAGACACAACTGAGTGACTAAACTGAACTGAACTGAATACTTCACGTGTTAGCTCTTTGAACAGTGCCTACCACATAACAGCTCAAGAATCCAGAGCTCTGGTTACTTTTATGGTCACTTGTATCATCCCTCCAACACCCAGACTCTGCTGACTTTCCTGTGTTGGATGGAAGCATTAATGATGAATGATTCAGTCAGTGGTGTCCCCTTGCAAGTGTGTGCTCTTAAAAACCCTTTATGCTTTCAATGAGCTCCCTCAAGGCACTTGTTTGTGCCAGACACTGGGCTTTCTGTGGAGGACCCAGAGGACGAGACTCCATCCCCGCCCCCACACCCCAGAGAGGCCGCAGGACATGGGACAGGGATTATAATGGAAGGTAGCATGGGCCCCATGAGCATGAAAGGTTCCGGAGGAGTTGGTTTTTTTCCTGACACTGAGGGAATTGATGGGAGCCTTCTGGAGAAGATGGCATTTGAACTGTGCTTACTCTTGGGAATATGAAGCAGGACGTAGCACCTAGGAACACAATTCAGCAGGCAAAACACCTGTAGGGGTTTGAAGCTTGAGTGAGTGGCCTTGGCTCACCCTTCACTCTTTCTGATCTCAGGACCCCTCCTGTGACTTGGGGTCCCCAAGATCGATGGAGCGGAATGGTTAACACAAGTTCTGGGACATTCCTGCCCAGGCCCCTCACCGGCTGGCTGAGTAACCTTGTCCGGGACTCAGGGGCCCTGTACCTCCATTTTTTTAATCTGTAAAATGAGCAATAGGCTATCCCTGCCTTTCAGAGCCAGTGGGAGAACTGAACAGTTTAATATTGGTCCAGCACTTGTTGCCCTCACTCTCCAAATGGTGCAGGAGAGGAGACTGCTTTCATGTCACCTGGTGTCGTGGGGCTTCTGAGCCCCTAACCGCCTGGTTCTCTCTGACCTCAGCTGCCACCTTCATGGAGCACTGGAAGCGGAAACAGATGCGGCTCAATTACCGCTGGGACCTCACAGGCTTTGAGGAGGAGGAGGTGAGTGGGCTTAGCAGCTGCGCCCCCTATGTCCTCTCCCATCCCCACCCCGTTCCTTTTGTGGGGGACTCACTAGGTCGTAAAGTCCAGGCGAGGCTGCTCCCTGCCTGTTTCTCAGTTCGTGTCCCCGATGTCTCAATCCCCCGCGGTTGCCAGGGTGACTGCTCAGTGTCCACTCTAGTGTTTTAAATCTCCGTGCTCACACGGACACACCACCCAGAAATGTGGTCAGGGATGCAGGCCAAGGCTCACCACGCTGATCTCATTCAGTCTGGGGGCCGCACCACGGGTCTGGGGAGGGGATGGCCACCACCCACGAGGTCGAGTCCCCAGAGGTGGCCATGAGCCTTCACCCTGGGTGCCAAACCTGCTATCCCCAGAGCCAGCTGTCAGCCTGCAGTCAGGCTTGGCCGAGATGTGGGGCTGACCCTTCACTAACAAAGGGAAGCCATGTGCTGGGCATCTTTGTGCGCCAAAAGAGGGCCATTCTGAGTTGAACAGCCACTGAGATGGTGGGTGAACCCGCTTCCCCAGGGTCGCTAAGGAGACACTTTGCTGCTGCCCCATCCTGAACTGCCAGCTCCAGCAGGATCCCTGTGGGATGAGGGGGAATGAAAAGGAACAAGATCCCCCGAACAGGAGAGCCGTTAGGTTTGGCCATGCTGACAGCGGCTTTGTGTTACGGAGTCTTTTGCTCAGTTCTTTTAAAGAGAAACCACTCATGCATTTTCATTGTAATGTGAAAGCCTCTTTCATCATCCTTTAAAATATCCCTATTATTATATTATATATTAATATATCCCTATTATATGTTAGGTCTCCCTGGTGGCTCAGATGGTAGAGAGTCTGCAGTGTGGGAGACCCCGGTTCGATTCCTGGGTCGGGAAGATCCCCTGTAGAAGGAAATGGCAACCCACTCCAGTATCCTTGCCAGGAAAATCCCATGGACCTGGCAGGCTACAGTTCATGGAGTTGCAAAGAGTCGGACACGACTGAGCGACTTCACTCCTTATTATATGTCCCCACACACGTGCTACCTCCAAGACTGAGTTGGTGGATCACTCTTCAGTCAGATGTGTAGCTGTGTGGGTTCTGAGCTGACTGTACTGTCAACAGACAAGGGCATTAGTTTGCTGGAAGAGGCACCAGCTTCGTGGTGCCAGGACGACCTCCAGGATCAGGTTGTCCTGTTTCAGCATTGCCCTTGCTGTGTGACCTGGGGCAAGTTACTTAACCTTTCTGTGCCTCATGTCCTCACCTCTCAAATAGGGGTGGAAGAGTGGAGTTTGAGGGGGGTCTCGGTAGGTCAGCAGATACAAAGCTCTTTGAGCAGGGTCCGGCAACTGTGAGTGCCCCCAACTGGTCTCCCGCCTCCAGGTTCAACCTCTTCCTGCAGCGGCTCTCATCATCCTGTTTCACAAATGGCAGGACCAAGGCTGATGCAACCAGAGAGACACGTGTCTCCTTAGGTGCAGAGAGAGGCATGGGACGGGTACTCCATCCCCCATGGTGGGCCCTGGGTCAGCTGTCTGCCGGAGCAGATTTAACAGATTCAAATAGGGTTCGTGTCATCTTACTAATTTGGAATAGATTGAGAATGTCCTTTTCATGACATCCATGGGGTTGGGACAGTTCAACCTGTTCAGAACCTGTCCCATGAAGTCTTCACCCTGATGGCTCAGGCACTAGGTAGTGGGGTAGTGATCGGAGCACCGGACGTGGGCCCTGGGGGGCCTGAATGAGACCCCCAAGAGTGAGCCCCCGCGCTGGGCAGGGCCTCTTCTGGGGCTGGTCACCTAAGTCAGAGGGCCAGCCCCTCCATGATGTGAACCCCAGGTGTCAGCTCTCAGAGCAGAAGGAAGCCTGTGCCCAGCCGTCTGGCCTGAGTCTCCTCCCTGAACCTAAGACAGTTCAGCCCAGCACCCAATCAGGAATCACCTAGAACTCTCCACCTGCAGAAACAGCAACACACTCAGTCACCCTAGGGTAGCATCAGCCTTTGGCAAGCCCTCCTTGTCTACCTGTGCCTTCACCCCATTTTTTTAAGAATATCACCTCTAAGAGGACTTTTTTCTTTAAAAAACAAACAAACAAACACAAGTAATGAAATCTTTTTGTTTTTGTTTTACATTTCTGTTTCCCGGAAGGAGGCTGTCAAGGTTTGAAATTTTTTGTCACTCGTCTGTCTCCTGGGAGAGGGACCTTCTGGCTCACCTGTTCTGTTTCTGCTGAGCGGTTCCCCACACCTCTTCCATGGCGGGCAGGGGTCTCTGCTTCCTCCCCCACCTCCGGGCCTCTCTTAACCCCCGTTCTTCTATTCCAGTGCCCTTCGCTGACCTGCTCTGGGCTCCCCTGAGGCCCGGCCCCTCTGGTCTGCCTGCGCTTGCTGACACTTAACCGCCGTCTCTTCCGACCCCGCGGCTCCTGATAGGATGTCCCCAGGGGCCAGTTCATGGCTGGTTGTTCAGAGTGGGCTGCAGGACAGGCTGCAACCCGGCGCAGACTGACCCGCCTCCAGGACCACGGAGCCTGACTCAGTGGCCTTCCCAGTGGACTGGGCTTCCCAACAAGGGGGAGCATCCTGGATGAACCTCATGCAGGGAGCTCTGAATGGGAAATGGTACAAACAGCCAGCTAGGAACTGGCCCCAGTGGGTACCCTGAGGGAGCGCTGGGGTGAATTTGCCACTTGTGCTCCTATTAAGGGTCTCAGACTCGCAGTTGACGAGACTCCTCGCTGACTTGGTTTCTTTCACAGGACCATCCCAGAGCTGAATATGAAGCCCGAGTTCTGGAGAAGTCTCTTAGGAAAGAATCCAAAAACAAAGAGGTACGGTGGCCGCTGCCAGTTGGCTTTCCCAGCAGTCAAACACTGCATGTCCATCAATATCACAGGCCAGGGGTCAGCACATGCTGTGCAGATGGAGGGGGCGGCCCCCAGACAGGGGCAGAGAGTAAATGTTCTCGGCCCTCCAGACCTCTGTCACAGCGCCTCTGTCATTGTAGGATGAAAACAACCACAGACAACAGGTGAACAAATGTGTCTGGCCGTGTTCCAATAAAATTTTATTTATAAAAAACAGGCGGGGTTTCAGGGGAGATTTGTCACACCCTTGCAGAGGTCAACCTCCCCCTTCTGTCCTGAGGGTGATCTCAAACTTCAGTCAACACCTCAACATCAAGAAAACCAAGTGGTTTTGCAGCTTTTCTTGCTCTGGGTGGTCATGTCCAACCTTCATGCTCTGCATTGAATGATGAATGGAAGGGTTTGCCCCAACAGGGCCCCTGAGTGGATGGCCAGTCCCTTGCCTCACGCATAGAGGATAAGAATGAGAAAGAAAAGTGTTTTTGTGATCCTCTCGTGGCCGCCACCTTTTCTTAATATGTAATAAATGCCTTCGTTTCTCCCCATAACCTCTCATTTAAATTAGCAGTCATGTTCTCACAAACCTCTAGGGTTGCTCGGTTATTTTTTTATCAGAGGGTTTTTTTTAATATGACATGGGGCAAGAGCCCCCAGGCCCTTGTCAACCTCTCTCTGAGGCTGGAAGGTCAGTCCTTGCAGGGATGGGAACAAGGGCAGAGTGGTCTTTCCAGATCCTAGTGTTCCTTGGCCTCTGGGAGCGACCTTTGTCTTTTCTTGTCATTGTGCTCCGTGGACAGAGTTTGCTGGTACAGCGTGGCCAGGGGTCCCAGTTACCACAATCCCCCCTTAGGAGGTGGGCAAAGTGGGTGCAGCAGAACCCCTTCTCAGACCCCAGTTCCCACAGCACAGAGAGAGTCCAGGTCAGTCCCCCAGCAGCTAGAAAGCAGGCGCACGACCTTGAACTCAGAGTCCGAGCAGGACTGGGGGTGCAGAGGAAATAACTACAAAAGCGTGAGCCTTCGCCACGATGAGGAGACTGTCCTTTCATTTAACCCATCGGAACATCTGCCTGCCGCGTGCCCGTTGTCTTTGGAGCAGCCGCCCTGTGCCTTTGACCCCACAACTCCGTCAGCGCCCTCTCCCCAGGCTGCGTCTCCCCTCCTAAAGGGAGAGGCATGGGTGCTGCTGCTCTGAAGCCCCCAGCCCCCTACTGAGGGCCACCATGCCCACCTGCTGTGTGCCGTCCACACCCCCAGACAGCCCACCCCACAGTTCTACAGCGGCCCCTCCTGGTGTGAGTGAGGATGGGATTGCACCCCTTCCTGGGGGAAAAGGTGCTTAGGGGCCAGCATCACGTCCACTGAAGTCAGGGGCTCCCCCAAACCCGAGCTCTGCACTGTGCCAGGAGCACCCCCCAGATTCCCCGTCACCCAGCTCCTTGGCTTTGACCTGAGCTCTTTGACCACAAGAGCAGCGAAGGTTGGGGCTCATTTTCACCAGCGTCCGACGGTGACCTCAGGCCCTGAAGGCCTCCAGGGGGCCACACCCTTGATTTTTTTCCACCCTTTCACTGTCCCCCAACTTTATGGTTTTAATTTATTCCCCTGGCTATGGCACCAAATTCGTTTGGGGGAAAATAAGAGATTCCCCCTTTTCATGGGTGTTAGGCTGCGGAGTGTGGCTTCCTGCACGTTGGTGTTAAATGCGCAGGGTAACCCACGTCTGCATAAGACACACCATGAACTATGGCCACCATCTGGCGAGGGGGCCCCCCGGAACCCGCCAAGCTTCCGGGCTATTTCCGTTACCTTGTTGCAGCCTCTCTTTTAAAATGGGCTTCCCAGGTGGCACTAGTGGTAGAGAACCCACCTGCCAATGCAGGAGATGCGGGTTTGATCCCTGGGTTGGGAAAATCCCTTGGAGGAGGACATGGCAACCCTACCCCAGTGCTCTTGCCTGGAGAAGCCCTTGGACGGAAGAGCCTGGTGGGCTACAGTCCATAGGGTCACAGAGTGGGTCACGACTGAAGCGACTTAGCACACATGCGCTATATTAGAATGGGTGTCTCTGCCATCTCCAATGGGTTTAAGATGCCCAGAGCCTGAATCAGCCCCAGCAGCCGGCACAGTCAGGGAGGTGCTGGCTTCCCCAGGGGGCAACGGGGGCCTGGGCCGCGGTCTCACCCCACGGTGCTCTCTTGTTCCCTCCACCCGCCCCAGAAGCGCCGGCACCTTCCGGAGGAGCCAACAAACAAATGGAGGCAGAGGGTTAAGACCGCCATGGCGGGGGTGAAATTGGTACATGTTGTGTCATCGGGCGTCGCGCGTCTTAAGTGTGTGCAGATGAACCAAAGTTCATTGTGTTTCCTCAGCCGACTCTTGACTGCTGTATTATCATGTTAACATCCACATCCACGCTCTTTTGCCTTCCTCCGCACCCTCAGGCTGTGACGTGTGTCCAGGTGTCTCTGCATGGCCACCGTGGGGTCGTGGGCGGGAGCTCGGCTGTCTCTGGGGCTTGTGAATCGTGCCTGCCACAGCTGCCTGCCAGCGGTCCCTGGTCTCATTAACATGCATGCCACCCTCCCTGGAATGCGTGGCCTCGGGGGTTCAGGCCTGCCAGCATTCTTTGACCTCATCCATGCACTTTTTTTTTTTTGGCGTTAAAGATCCACCCCATTCTAGAAACATCCCAGGTTAGTGACAAGCATCTACTTCAGTCCCTCCAGACCCCGCAGTTCCCGCCCCAGAGCCTTTAGGGCCGTGTGTCCCCACCGACCACCGTTGCTACGCGGCAGGCAGCGTTTGAACTCATAGTGCTGGTGGCTTGTCTCAACTTGCTCTGCAAAGGAAAATAACTATTATGGTCTGGTTGGTGGAGGAAAAAAACAGCTTAGATCTTCTCGCCGTGCAGATGAGACTTTCAGCCAGGAGACAGAGGCCAGGCTTCTCCCAGATGGGGGCGTCTGAGCGTCTCATTTAGAAAAGCCTCTGGCGCCATCACACCTCCTAACAGAGAAGACTCACATTTGTAGACAACTATTACTTCTGTCATTTCATAGCATCCTTTCATCAGGGATAAAGCCTGGATGTTTGCCTTCATTCATCACCTGCAGGGTTTTTGTTTTTTTCCAAGCGTGTTTCTGTGGTCCACGTTGTTCACCCCCACACACACACATGTCCGCGTGCACACACACACACACCCCCACACCTGTCCACGAGGATGGTCCCCACTGCTGACCCAGCCCTGTTTCATGTTGTAGACGGACAAGGTGAAGCTGACCTGGAGAGACCGGTTCCCTGCCTACTTCACCAATTTGGTCTCTATCATCTTCATGGTGAGTCCCGGGAGGCCAAGGGGGGCAGTGTACTACGGCATGCAGTGTTTACCTAGATGGGGTCAGCCGTCCACGTGGCAGTCGTCCTCATCCCAGGCCAGGCAGGGGTGGGGGGATTCCACCAGTGTCCTCAAATGGGAAGGGGCTGGGGTTCTGTCGTGACCCCAGGGGGCTCCCTACACCCAGGGGGATCGTCCCTGACACATCTTTCATTCTGACAGTGACACATGTGAGTAACTTGTCATTCACACCCAGGAGTTCACAGGTATTATTTAAGACAAGACGGAGGGGTTTTAAAGACAGCCATGAAATGAATAACAGACAGGACAGTAGTCAGGACGGGTCTGTGATGCTGGATTCATCCGGACCCTGTGGGTTTGAATAAATCAGCGACACGACGGCCAGCTCTCTCTGAAGGTTTTAACGCCCAGATGATCGGGCTGCGTCCCTGGAAGGCCTCAGCCAGTGCTCCCCAACAGGTCAGCGCCAGCTGTGGTCACTGTGGAAATGACCATCCCCTCATCCAGCCCTGGAGCTTTAGGTTAGGGTCTCAGCCCCCGACGCTATGGGGGGCCCTCGTGGCTGCTGTAGACCGAGGGCTGGGCTGTGCCCAGTGGCCTGAGGGGCTCACACCTGCCTGTCCCCCAACCTGCTAGTGAGGACACAGAGGCCGGAGGTCTCACCCTCTCCGCAGGCTGTATGTCAGGCTGGCCGTCCACCCTGAGACCCTCGCTATTCTACGTGAACTTGGAGACATGCAGATGGGCTTGTTTTCCCACTGGGGGCGGTGGGGGCGGCAGCTGAGGCCCTCTAAGCTGAGTAGTTAGAAGCAGAGTGAGGACTCCATTTCCTCTCACAATCTTGCACGTGGTTAAGAAGGATATCACTGATATAAAGAAATCCATAGTGAGGACCCCCAAGACCGTGGAGCCACTGCAGGGAGGGCTCCTGTGTCTGTAGATGAGTCCGGTGGCAGTGGGCCCAGCCCTGGAGCACTTGTCCCAGACACACATGAGTGGTGCTGAGAGGTAACCTGGGACGATGTGGTCCCTGCCCACAGCTCACCAGCAGGGGATGGGGTACGGGAAATGGGACTCGGGCACCAAGGTTCAGCCCCTCCTGGCAGAGAAGAATCAGTGTTACCACAGAAGATCCAGCACGGGGATGGAGGCGGTGGGAGGCTGTGGGCCCTTCTGCACCACGGCAAGTTTGGACAGGAGCCCTCAAGTTACATGTCACTCTGTGAATCGTCTTCAGGGAGCTTTGAGTTTCTCACATAGTAAGAATCAAGGTGTAGGCAGTGGAGGGCTTGTCCAGCACTTCCATGATGCCAGCAGGCACTGACCTCTCTGGTCTGTGCCTATGTCCTCTTGGTCACGACATGGCTGCTCCACCTCCAACATCACCTCCATTCTCCAGGCTGGAGAAAGGGGAAGGAGATGGATGCCAGTGGAGGCAGCCCCTCTTTGAAAGTGCTTTCCCACAGGGCCTGCCCACACCTCTGCTCGCATTGTGCTGGCCAGCCCTGTCTGCACAGAGATTGGGAAATGGGCACATTGTCACTCCCTGCAAAGGCGGGATAGTGGGGAGGGAACCAGCAGACCTTGAGGGACTGGTACCCCCATCACAGGTGAATCAGTCTTGTCCTGAACACAGGAGCTTCATTCTCTGAACAAATATCAGTTGAGCACCTACCCGGTGCCCCCATGCTCCTGGTCCTGAAGGTGCCCATGTGTCCAAACCCTGGCCCTTGAGGCCCCTTCCTTCCAGGAGGGGACACAGCTATAGGGTGGTCATGGGGGTGCACCAGCAGGAAAGGGGGCACCTTGCTGAGTCTCCTTGCAGGCCCAGAGCCCCGTCTACCCCTCCGCACAATGCAGGAGGGGCGTCTCCAAGCCCAGGGCGACGCCTTCCCCTAGGGGGTGGGGCCTCTTGGCAGAGGCATGGGGGTTTCCCAGGAAAGCCCTCATTCTGGGAGCTGGCAGGAGTGGTACCCACACCTCACCACAGGGCAGCCCGTTCTTTGGGGTGTGGTGTGGGGTGCGGACGTTCCCTGGGCGGGTGTGGTCACCATTCAGTCACCCACAGGCGTGGGCAGCAGCAGAGTCACCAGGCAGAAATTTAAAATAGGAGCTTCCTGAGATCCCCATTGCTGCAGCCTCCTTCTGGGGTGAAGCAGGCAGAGCCCTACCAAGCTGCATCCTGAAGGTACACAGCGCGGACCCCGCTCTCCAGGGCTATCCCGGGAGTCGCGAGGGGCCGTCTCGGCAAGGGCAGGTCCCCTGCACACCCTCCATGGAAGTGAGACTCAGGGATCGGGGCACGCAGAGGGCACGGTGCAGTCAGGCTCAGGTGATGGCCCTGCACAGCCGCCCTCCACCCTCAGGGCCGCCTCAGGACTAGAATCCACAGGTGTCTTCACCCTTAGGGCAGGACAGGGTGAGGACAGGGTCTTCCTGGGTGAGTCAGGGTTTTTGAAGGTAAGGAAGAGGAGCCCAGGCAGACAGAGAGACAGCTCCACGCAGAACAGACTCATCATCCTAGCCAACACCCACCCTTGTCTCTCAAGCAGCCTCCAGCCTCCAAGTTTTAGGGAACATTCTGGTGCAGCGGTGGGTTTGTCAAGATGGGGGATGAGCTGGAGGGGTGTGGGGGGTCTCCTGGGGAGATCAGGAGAAGGGACCCCATCCATCTGTCCCAGGCAGGCCTGCAGCACTGCCGGAGGGGATCAGACCACCCCATGCCCCACCTGCCTCCCACAACAGCATCGAGAACATCACTGCTCCCACTCAGGGTCACCCAGGCTGGGGGCAAAGCCCACCCAAATTGTCAGCCTGCCAGCGCACAAGCCAGTTACTGGGGTTGCAGCCACCCTGTGTCCTGCTGGGGACAGTGAGCAAGGCGGTCAAGGTTCTCACCGCAGGCCCCCGCAAAGCCGTGCACTCCAGGCTTGCTGGACCCACCAGGAAAGCCCCAGCTCATGTGCTGGGTGACCTGGCCTGGTTACCCAACCTCTCTGAACACCAGTCTCCTCTTCTATAAAACAGAATCTGGCCCCTCACAAGTCTGTGACGTTAACACCCGTCAAGCCCCTGGCATCTGGTGGGTGACACGAAATGCCTGTCATTGTTTTGAAGCTGAAGCACTCCCAGGTTGGGGAGAGCAGGGCCCAGGGAGTCGGAGGGTGTGGTCCAGTGAAACCAGGGGGTCCCGCCGACAGTGTCTCCTCCTCCCTCCGCAGATCGCCGTGACCTTCGCCATCGTCCTCGGCGTCATCATCTACAGAATCTCCACAGCCGCTGCCTTAGCCATGAACTCCTCCCCGTCCGTGCGGTCCAACATCCGGGTCACGGTCACAGCCACCGCGGTCATCATCAACCTGGTGGTCATCATCCTCCTGGACGAGGTGTACGGCTGCATAGCCAGATGGCTCACCAAGATAGGTGAGTGCCCCGGCCGGGCCCTGGAGCCAGGCGGCCGCACGTCGCCTGCCCTGGGGCCCTGGGCTGGTCACTCAGCCCCTCTGACGGCCCAGTGAAGTGACCCGCCTGGACCGGGGCCATGGTTCAGCAGCTTGCATCTCACTCCCTCTAGAGGTTCCAAAGACAGAGAAGAGCTTTGAGGAGAGGCTGATCTTCAAGGCTTTCCTGCTCAAGTTCGTCAACTCCTACACCCCCATCTTCTACGTGGCTTTCTTCAAAGGCCGGTAGGGGCTGCTTCGGTGACTCAGATGCACCGCCTTCCCCAGCTTGCACCTCCCCGTCCAATAGAAGGCTCACCCGCCCCCCCCCCCGCCCCCATCTCCCCACAGGCAGGAGGCACCCAGGCCCAAGGCGGAGCAGTCAGTGAGCTCCTGCTGCTGCTGGGGTCAGGCAGAGGCCTGGCTCCTGCGGGGCCCCCAGGGGGCAGGGACCCTGGGGAGGAGGGACCCCAGGCGCTGGGGACTCCAGACAGCAGGGGCTCCAGGCAGCCAGTTCCAGGGGCTCCCCACTGGGGAGGTAAGGGCTGCCAGAGAAGGTATGAAAGGGCAGCCACTGGTGTTCTGGGCCAGTGGTGGAGTGAACCCCACCCCCTGACCCTCTGGAGCTGTCCTGGGTTTCTAGGGGCCTGTGGCCCACCCAACCACGACTCCCCACCACCCCCGCCCCTGCCCTAGCCAGGGCCTGGCTGGTCAGATCCCAAAACCCCTCCCAGAGGCTCCGTCCTCAGCATCATGCGATTTACAAATACCGCAGCCACCTGCCCCTCCCAGGGTCCCAGAGCTGGGCCGAGGTGCCCAGGCCCCCTGAGAGCACCCACAGCAATGGAGCAGGCTCTCAGATGACCCCCAGCCACACACCCCACAGAAAACTGAGAGGTGGCCTCGGGGGGCCACCCCCACCCCAGCCTGTCTGCGGTCCCCAGCATGGCTCCTTGTTTGCCTTCTCCCCTCCTGGGCTCCCTTCCTTCCATCTGCCCTTCGGCCTCTTGGTTTCCTGTTGAAGCCACGTCTTCTTACCCACCTGCGGGCTTGGGAATCACATGAACATTTGACCAAAAGACAGCCACTGTGGTCGGTTCTTAGATGAAGCCGGCAGGGGGAAAGCCTGTGGACTCTAGCGCCCTGACTTGTGGACCCACGACACAACCCAGCTTCCACCTTTGGGGTCTCCCAGAGCCTGCTCGCCCCTCTCTAACTGACCCCCATCATTGGCTCCGACCTGGGGAACCAGACAAGGACCAGCTCCCACCTTCAGGACCTCCCAGAGCCCGCTCGCCCCTCTCTAACTGATCCCCACGATTGCAGGTTTGTTGGACGCCCGGGCGACTATGTGTACATTTTCCGATCTTTCCGGATGGAGGAGGTAGGTCCCACTCTGCTTCCCCACCTAGGTTCACACAGCACACCTCAGTTCCCAGCCCACAAGGCCCCTGCTCTCTTATCCAGCTGCTGGGGTGGGCTTCAGTCTTCCATGGCATGTCCATATAGCGTCAGCTTAAAAGGAGAATGTCTCTTCAGGGTCATGGAAACCAAAAAAATTACACCTATTTTTTTATTCTTCTTTTCCTGTAAGACGTTGAGTGTTTTTCTCTTTGGTTAAGGTGAACTAGTGAGAAAAAAAGAGCTCAGTCACAATTCTTCTGCTTCAACGTTGAAATGCTCATCTCTCGCCGCACCAACCAGTGTGGGTCATCTCTGCTTCCTACTCAGCGGTTCCAGCCACTGGGGGTCTAGCTCAGGTGTCTGAGTCCTGGCCCCCAGGCTTGTTCCACTGGCTCCATCAGACCAAGCCACACTTCAGGGCCCGTCAGCAGTTCAGGTTTCATGGAAACTAATCGGCTTTTCTATTTCCCAGAATAGTTCATTTTATTGAGAAAGAAAGGGCCAGGTCTTCCTGATAAGATCATGTGAAACAGGGTGGAGAGGATTAGGTACTGGGTGATCTGGCCACCTGAGGTGAAGTCTAGAGCTTCAGCCAGCTGAGTGCTGGCCCCGAACATCCCAAGGCCTCATCCACAGTAGCGGATATTTGTAAAAAGCCCTCCAAGTGCTCCCCCACTACCTGACAGGTCCTTTACGTAAGATGACACCCTGTCAAGCTCTCTAACTGTTGGAGAAGTTGGGGGAAATGCCTTCATGAAAAAGAATAAAGCATAGAGCATCTTTATTTTTTTAATGAAATGATGGCTCTTCCAGATAAATTTTTTGGCAATTTTTGGTATATGAAGTTTGGCCCAGGACTCAGAGAGGGTCAGCTGTGCCTTGGAGTGTCACCCAGCATCCCCTCAGTTCCCACCACCTGGACAAGTTAAGCTTCTGTCTCCTGCTCATGCTCCCTGCCCCCACCAGCCTATGGCGGTACAAGCCCACGGGGAACAAGGCATTAGGCCTAACAGGGTGGCCAGCTGCCTCACCGTGCGGCTTCCCAGCTGCACCGGCCCCAGCCAGCGAGACTGCCGCCCAGCCCTGCCCATGGGCTCTGTCTCCAGGCCTGGTTCCAGCCCCGACAGCCTGTTGGTCAGGTTGAACTAACCCCAGGGGCCACTGTAACAAGACACCATAGACCAGGTCGCTTAAGGCAGCAGTTTTAAGCTCTGATAGTTCTGGAGGCCAGAAGTCCAAAATCACAGTGTCAGTAGGGCTGTGCTCCTTCCGAAGGTTCTAGGGAGGGTTCCTCCAGGCCTCTCCCAGCTCTCTCTGCCACTGACCATCCTCGACGTCCCCTGCTGACAGATGTGCCTCTCCAGTCTCTGCCACCATCCTCAGGGGGCCTCCTCCCCCCGCTCCCGTGCACCTGTGTGTTTTCTCTTCTTCAAAGGACACCAGCCACTGGAGCAGGGCCCACTCTCCACCATCATGACTGCATCTTCACTCGGTCACGTCTGCAAAGACCCTGCTAACAAATGAGGTCCCACTGTGAGGTTCCAGGGGCCGGGACATGGAGGACGCAACTCAGCCCTCGGCACGAGAGCCAGCCTCCCCTCGCAGGGAGCTAGGCAGGGCGGGGCAGGGGCTGATGCGACCCTCTCTTGCAGTGCGCCCCGGGGGGCTGCCTGATGGAGCTCTGCATCCAGCTCAGCATCATCATGCTGGGGAAGCAGCTGATCCAGAACAACCTGTTTGAGATCGGCATCCCGTGAGTAGCTTCCGGCCTCGGGTCTCAGCAAGCATGGGGGCGGGGGCAGGCCTCCCGGTGGTCAGGGCAGCAGGTGACGCGGGGCCTGGACCAGGGCGGGGGCACCAGAAACAGGGAGGTGGTGAGGACACGAGGAAGATGGGCAGGAACAACTGCCTGGTGGACGACGGAAGGGGCGAGGCCAGGTGACGCCTCCTCTCCCAGTGGCCGAGGATGCAGGATATAGACTGTTTTTGTTCAGTCGCTCAGTCCTGTCTGACTCTTGGCGACCCCATTGGCTGCAGCACACAGGGCTTCCCCGTCCTTTACCATCTCCTGGAGATTGCTCAAACTCATGGCCATTGAGTCGGTGATGCCATCCAACCATCTCGTCCTCTGTCATCCCCTTCTCCTCCAGCCCTTAATCTTTCCCAGCGTCAGTGTCTTTTTTGACTCATCAGAAAAGGATATAGATAAGTGCCCCCAAATCCAAGTGTCGGCCCCTGTGATCCAAGGCACCCAAGTCTGCTCGGGCCCGTCCAGACCCCTGACACCTTGGGGCCCTCCCCAGCCTCCGTTTCCTTATGTCAGGGGTCCCCAATCTCGGGACCGAGGACTGTCTCCTCCTGTCAGGTCAGCAGCAGCTAAGGTTAGAAGTAAAGTGCACAATAAATAAAATGCTCTTGAATCATCCAGAAATCATGACCCCCCCCTCCAGTCTGAGGAAAAATCGTCCTCCACAAAGTTGGTCCCTGGTGCCAAAAAGTCTGGGTACCACCACCTCATGTCACAAGTGAAGCTGTGAGGCTTGCCCCCTGCGTGCCCCTGGGGGAGAGGGCAAAGGAGCTAGCCCATCAACAGAGCGGTCATCACAGACACGTCAGTTCAGGCTTTAAAACAACCTGGAGGGGTCACACCCCCAAGCCCACCTTCCTGGAAGCCTAACCGGGGCGACATCGGGCGTCCTCCAGGAAAATGAAGAAATTCATCCGATATCTGAGGCTGAAGCACCAGAGCCCCGCGGACCACGACGAGCACGTGAAGAAGAAGCAGCGGTACGAGGTGGACTATACGCTGGAGCCCTTCGCTGGCCTCACCCCGGAGTACATGGAGATGAGTGAGTCGCGGGGGCCCTCCCGGGGCGGGGCGGGGCTGCCCAGGGCTCCGAGCGACACCCCAGGACTGAGCCCTGTCACCCGCAGCTGTGTCTCTGGACGGGCGGTGCCCAGGGTGGGCCATGAATCCCGGGGCTGCAGCGAGGGAGAGAGACAGCCTGCCAGATGTGGTCACATGGCAGCCGCTTGGAGCCTCCCGAACGCCACCTCCCTCCACCCCCCGCTCAGGCTACCCTGGCCTTCTTGCAGTTGTTGTTAGTTGCTCAGTTGTGTCCAACTCTTTGTAAGCTCATGGATTATAGCCCACCAGGCTCCTCTGTCCGTAGGACTTCCCAGGCAAGAATACTGGAGTGGGTTGTCATTTCCTTCTCCAGGGGATCTTTCTGACCCAGGATTTGAATCCACGTTTCCTGCATTGCAGGCAGTTCTCTACTGCTGAGCCACCAGGGAAGCCCTCTCTCTCCTATTACCCAAATGCATAGAAGTCGTGCCTACCTCAGGGCCTTTGCACCAGCTGTGTCCTGCCTGGAATTCGCTCCCCTGGTGCATCACTCCTTTCCTGCAGGGCTCTGCTCAGAACGTCCCCCACCAGAGGGATCTCCCCAGTGTGTGACAGGGCGGCCCGGGCCCTGCTCTCTGCCTCTCCCCACAGCTGACATTTTATTCCCCGGCACTCTCTCACTGCCCCTCCATCTGTCTCTCCTGTAGACTTAAAGCTCTGTGAAAGCCGGCCTTTAGGATCTTTTTCCTCTTCACTGCTGCACCCCCTGCTCCTAGAACAGGGCCAGGTATTCCGTGGGTGCTCAGTGTGTGTTCAGAGTGAATGGACAAGCGAAGGCGGAGACTCACGCAGAGGGGTCCCAAGTGTCGTGTCCCCTGACCACTATGGATAGCTTAGCTCAAATGCGGGTTCCCTGGGCCCATTCCCGGTCTGTTGGGGTGGGACCCAGGACTTGGCATTTTAACAGGCACCTCGGCGAACCAGCCAGGGACTGCTCTACAGGGTGAGGTGGTTCGGGCCAAGTGGCCTTGGAGTGCAGGAGTGGTTACATTTAGTAGTACCTGCTCTAGCCCCGGGGGCAGTCAGTCACTCCCAGCTTCTCAGATGACAGTGCAGAAACAGCCCTGAGACTCCCAACAAGGAGACCACGTGAGGTCCCATGGCATCCCCTGTTTTTTCCCAGAATCAACTCCGGGCTGAACCAGAGGCAGGCGGGCAGCTCCCTGCCCTGCGAGCGCCCCACCCCCACCCAGGCCTGCCCCCTGCCTGCCTGTTGACACTCATCCTGGGGTCTTGGAGGAGGGTATCCACTGCCAGCCACCTGACCCCATGGGAGATAGACACCAAGAACTGCAGCCTGTGATCAACTGGAAGACTGCGCTCCATCGTTTCCCCAGATTTCCATTTTCCTGGTGGCTAGAGAGTTCAGGGTCCTCTGGGGTTTGGTGAAATGAAATTCCTGGGACAGGCTGCCCACCAGGGAGCAGCCCACCCCATGCCTGCTGGTCTCCGCATCCAGGCTGACTCAACTGGGATGAAGCGGCAGGAAGTCAAGTCCCTGCTGGGCAGGACCGGCCCTCTCCCCAGCCCCCACGGCCCTCCCCCAGCCTGTCTGTCTAAGATGAGGCAGTGTCACTCTGGAATCAGAGAACCTGCAGCCTCAGGGCTGAGCGGCCCCTGGCCCCCCGGGGGGCCTTCATCACCTCCTCCATCTGCAGAGCCTTCAGACAAGACCACTGCCCCCAGAAGCACCCCACAGAGCCCCTGTGGGGCGCAAGGGGCCAGCAACCCCGCGCCAGGATGAAGGCTCACCCCGAGCCCCACCCGCCCACCCGCTAACAATGGCCACACTCAGCCTGCCGGCCCGGTTGACATTCTACCGGCTTCCTTGTTTACCGCCTGGCACCAAGCACCGTTGGACAGCGTCTGGCTGTACAATCCCTGAACCCACTTCCCCCACTTGCTTCCGTTCAGCAACCTTTCCCTGACCTTCCCGGGCACTGGGCCTCTGTGGGCTAGAACCTCAGAGGCCGAAGGTGCCCCGGAGTCAGCTGGTCGATGATGAAGATGACGAGAAAGATAGAGGGAACAAGGCAGAGGGGTGAGATTGTCCGGGACAGCGGACGGTGGTCCCCCGCTGGCTCCCTGAGGCCTGATGGAGTGGATGCCGCGGGCTGTTGGAGGCGCACTGAGGCTGGCACCCCCCCCCCCCCGCCGGGTCCTAGGAGGCATTAGGGCCCCTTCCCTGCCCGGACACAGAGTGACTGACTCTGGGCCTTTGTGCTCACAGGCACCCTTTCTCCATCACTGGTAAATTTTTTCATGATCAGACTATAAGTAAGTACACGCACATTATTCAAGACTCAATGTGAAGGTTCAGAACCCGACTCCTGGCCTGGGGTCACCCAGGGCTGCGGGGCCTGTCCCAAGATCCCCTCTCACACACGGGAGGCAGGGCGCCATCTGGCCCAGGGCGAGGGTCCCGCCGCCCTGGGCTGGGGGCCGCACGTGCTGACCGCCGCCCCTCTCTGCAGTCATCCAGTTCGGCTTTGTCACCCTGTTTGTCGCATCCTTCCCACTGGCTCCGCTCTTCGCACTCCTGAACAACATCATTGAGATCCGCCTGGACGCCAAGAAGTTTGTCACCGAGCTCCGAAGGCCGGTGGCCGTCAGAGCCAAGGACATCGGTGAGTGTCTGGGCCCTGGGTTTGGGGAGAGGATCCCACTCCCCGGAAGCCAGAGGCAGAGCTGGCCAGGTGGGGCCCCAACTCCTCACTGCACCTGCCCTGGAGGGAGACTCAGACACAAGGCAGGGGTGGCGGGATGCGTGTGCCCCACCCGACCCCCCAACTCCTGAGATGTACAGGCCACAGAGAACGTTAGGGAACCCTGACCCCCCAACTCCTGAGATGTGTGGGCCACAGAGAACGTTAGAGAAGAGCTCAGGTCTCAGATGACTAGGTGTTTCCTCAGCCTGCTGCTCCGGCAGGTCCATGAGATGCATTTTCTCTGTTGGTCCCCAGCACCCCTACCCCACCCCAAATGTCTGTGTGGGCCCAGAGCACAGAGCCAGACCACTGGGAAAGACAGTGTTAGCTGCCCAGCAAGTGTGTTCCTACACAGTGTATCATGTAGTCATTTAACATTCACAGAAAAGATAAAGCAGGGAGCCCCCCTTCTACTGATGAAGGAAGAGCATCGTGTAACCTTCCTGGCGGGTCAGGATCAAGAGCAGTCTGGGCCTTTTAACCCCAAGTCACTAAGGCACTGGGGGTTGTGGGACTGTACACTGAACATCAGGAATAACTTTCGAATAGTCAGGGACCTCAAAAATGGAGCCAGCTTCCTTGTGCAGTGGTGAGCTCCCTGTCACCAAAAGCATGTAAGCAGACATGGGTACCCATCTGTCCAGGCAGGGCTCAGAGACCCACACATGCCTCAGCCGGAGCCAGCCCTCATCAGCAAGGACAATGCCCATCTTACCTTAAAGAGAATCAACTTAAACCGAGATTCAATTTTCAGGGTGAAAACAAAAAGTCTTTATTGGGAATTTATCTTGAAATGAGATGGAAAATTACAAAATGTATTATTTTATTTCCTATTGAATACAATGTTAGTTAGAACAGCACCTGTGCCAGTTCTGTGCTGGCTCCCAAACAAGATAGAACTGTGTGTCAGGGGTGTCGTCTGTCATTCCACCAAATTAAAGGCTGCACACCACACAGACAGATCTTTGGGTCGGACCTTTGTGTTAGTTGCTCAGTTGTGTCCAACTCTTTGCAACCCCATGGACTGTAGCCCTCCAGGCTACTCCGTTCATGGAATTCTCCAGGCAAGAATACTGGAATGGATTGCCATTCCCTTCTCCAGGAGATCTTCCCACCCCGGGGATTGAACTCGGGTCTCCTGCATGGCAGGCAGACTCTTCACTGTTTAGCCCAAACATAACCCTGCAAACACGCAGAGCTGTCATCACTCCTTCCAAAAGCTGCTCCTGCCCTTGGCGTTAGGTCCTCGCATCCCAGGCTGGGGACTCCTTGGCCACTGCTCCATCCTGTGGTGTGGCCCCCACCGACCAATGGTGTCAGGCCTACCAATTCTCCACCATCAGTCCCCGAAATGCTGGAATCCTGCTTCACACAGTGCACCTTCTCAGGTTGTACTGGATGAAATGGCCGTTTTCACCATTTAAACATGCTCAGATATCGGTGATTTCACCTGGTTCACATTTGTGCATTGGGATCCGTGGTGTCAGACCTGCCGGGCCCAAGCTTAAGAAGGTCCAGGAACACTTGCTCTTCCACCAGGAGGGACGTCTGAGCTCAGCTCCCCTACAGAGGTCATTGCCCTGTGTTTTGACACTTAAGTCTCCTTCCTGTCCGGGCGACCCCGACAACCAGTAAAGACTCAGCCAAGAGATGCCTTTTCCACCAAAGTTTGTGGTTTTGAAGGATGTAAAAGGATGTGAATTCTCTGGCTCCCAGTGTCCCTGATGCTGCCTCACCTGTGGCTCCGGAGTGAGCCTCTGCCTCACACACCTCGACTCTGAGAGGCACGGGGCCGGGTAAGAGGCATCCAGAGCAGTGGGCTTGCCACTGTGCTGGGTCAGAGCCCAGTTCACGCTTCCATGCAGGGCCGGAGAGTAAACGTTCTTGTCTCTGTGGACTGTGAGGCGATGTGCAGGATTCTCACTGAAAGGTGCAATTTCTCGTGTGAAAGCGGTTCTTCCCTCCTGGGCCATCCAGACACAGGCCGGGCTCCGCTCTAGGCCACCGGCCAGATCTGCGGATCCCCCAACAACAGAGGACGGGATGGTTGGATGGCATCACCAACTCAGTGGGCATGAGTTTGAGCAAACCCTGGGAGATGGACTGCAGTCCGTGGGGTCAAAAAGAGTTGGACACAACAGAGCGACTGAACAACAGCCTCGAGATCGAGGTGATGTGAAGCCAGGGCTCTCTGAAGCGCCCCATGGCCTGCTCTGAGGATGGCCCAGGGAGCCATGTCTGATGTTGGACTTTCTCTGGGGCTTTTTGCTGTTGTGTCCCCAAGGAGCCTGGTGAGGACACTGGGGTGAATCCTCGGTTCCACTTTCCAGATGGGGAGGCTGAGGCCAGGTGCTGAGCAGAGCCAAGCTGGACTAGATTAGCTCAAGCCCTCGGCCCCTCCTGGCACATTTCCATGAGGGCACGCCTGTGGCGTGGACGGGGTGGACACAGCAGCCTTCAGGTACTCCCTGCACGCTCCTTGGGAATTCTGAGCCCGAGCCCAGTGGCCGTGAAGAAAAAGCGCCACTCCTACCATTTGCTCCTTACAAAGGCCCAATTCTCAGGCACCCAGAGGTCCCAGGCAAGTCCACAGCGGCCACTGTTTGCTTTGGCATCCTGTGCCTGGCGGAGCCACCGCCATGCCCCACAGCAGCACCCTAAACCCTGCAGCCCCCCAGGATGGAAGCGAGTCTCAGGACGCGCCCCCCCCCCCAAGCCCTCCCTGGCCCTGGTGTTGTTCCAGCACAAGCAGGGCTTGGAGCACGTCCTCGGGGTCTCTGCTCATGGCTGCACAGCTCTGCTTACAGATCAGCTGCTGACTTCCTGCTTCCTGCCGCGTTGGTCGAAGCATAATCTGGGTTTGTTTATGGGCTCCTCCACTGTAACCTTTCCTTGAAGAGGCTTTTGTGTTCCTCCTGTGATCCATGTGGGGCCCTGAAGGGACAGGGGCCCCTGCGGCCCCCGTGACTGCACCCAGAGTGCCCGGAGTGTGTGGAGGAAGCACCAGTGCCGTCACCGCCCTGCTCAGCAACGGAGAGGGAGGCGCAGAGGCCGAGGGGACCCAGCCCCCTGCACACGTGGGCGCCGGCTCCAGCCTCCCAGACCTGACCTTTCACCCAGGGCCGGCATCTTCCTGCCATTTGGGCTCCCTCTTCAGAGCCTCCCGGGTGAGAAACCCTTCCTGTGTGCAGCCCCTGGGAGCTGCAAGCTGGCAGGCACGTCCAAATACCTCCCTAGACTGTTCTTCCGAACCAGGCTGGGCATTGAAGAAGGAGGCGGATGAAATGAGGTGGAGCCCTGCAAGATGTCAGAAGGAGGCTGAGATTCGCCCCAGGCGGCATCAGCCCCTCACACTTAACTAGAGGTCCTCGGGACAGTGGCTCTCATCATGCGGCGTGCGTTCGAATAATCCAGTGGGTCGAGACTCCAGCAGGGGTCAATCCGGGGGGCTGGGACCTGCGTCCTGGAGCCCGGGGTTCTGGGGGTGGGGGGGGTCGGGTCACACAGAGAGCCATCGGCCTGGGCAGAGAGACACCGCAGGGCGCGCTGGACAGCCTCAGTCCCCTGCCACACAGCGCTCCCTCTGGCCCAGCCGTCTCCCCCGCGCCATCCCCATTTCCTGCTGTCACCTCTCTCAGCTCATTGACAGACTGGTTTCCTCCTGCTGGGCTCAGGAGCCACCTCCCAAGGGAGCCCCCTGCCCAGAGGCCTCAACTTGCAGGACTGGCCAGCACTCCAGCACCCCCACCCGGAGTTCTCAAGCTCAGATTGTGTGGGACCCATGAATGAGTGGACAAGAGTGCCTGTTCTTGGCTCCCTTGAAACACCCAGCCCTTGGAGGATTTTCTTCTCTACGCTTTAGTAGGGTCTGGGTTTGGATAAATGTGTTTCTTGAAGCCACTTGTGATCAAGGGACTTGGCCTGGTAGAGAGAGAGCTGCAGTGCATGGTGTGGCCTGAAGGGGGCGCCACTGCCAGCCGCCTCCAGCTGTTGTCACGGAGAGGCCAGCTGGGCGCTGAGGCTCTTGCAGAAGCAGCTAGTCTAAATTTTTTTAAAAACACACCATCCCGATTTGTATACACCCACTGACATTGTGGGGCTTCCCCGCCGGCTCAGTGGTAAAGAGCCCTCCTGCCAACGCAGGAGGCGTAGCTTCTATCCCTGGGTCAGGAAGATCCCCTGGAGGAGGAAATAGCAACTTACTCCAGTGTTCTTGCCTGGACAATCCCAGGGACAGAGGAGCCTGGTGGGCTACAGTCCATGGGGTCACAAAAAGTCGGACATGACTAAAGGAGTAAACAGCAGCAACAGCATTTTTTCAGTAGCAGGCAAGATTGATGAAACTCCCCTGCGACCCTTGGATGTGGCGACCTCTGCTTGGGCAACCTCTGCTTCCAAGAGTCTGGTTGGAGGGACTTTCTATGCTCACATAGTCACTGAGTAAACACTTACCCAGTGCTGAAGCTGAAGCTCCCATACTTCGGCCACCTGATGTAAAGAGCCGACTCATTGGAGAAAGACCCTGATGCTGGGAGAGATTGAGGACAGGAGGAGAAGGGGGCGGCAGAGGATGAGATGGTTGGGTGGCATCACCAGTTCAATGGACATGAGTTTTTGCAAGATCTGGGAAAGTTTGGAAACTCTCCCAGACAAACCTAGACAGCATATTAAAAAGCAGAGACATCACTTTGCCAACAAAGGTCCATATTTGGGGCACTGGAAACGCTTGCCCTCGTGGGCTGGTCCCTGGCCGGGGCTGGGAAGCCGCCCTCACACCTGCCCTCAGAGGCTAGGTCTGAGCCGGTGGTTTTCCAACTCTGGGGCACATGCTCTGAACTCCTGCAGTCTCTGCCGACCATCAGCCTGCACCCTGCAAACAGGCACTCACTGCAAGAGCAGGAACGCACATGCACAGCCTTATAGGCCCTGGGTGAAGATGCCCCACCCTGCCACTGCCCCCACCAGCCCTTTCTGTTGGCACCGTCTCAGATCTGGCTCCAGGCAGGGGGAGAGGGTGAGTGGGACAGAGTTTCAGCCCCAAGTCTGTGATGATGTGTTCCTGACCTGATAAGATGCCATCAGGGTGGGGACAGTGGTGGCCAGGGATGCTGGGCCCGTTTCCAGGAGCCACAGCCTTGGGGCCCTAAGGAGCAGGGCCAACCCTGGGCCCTCAGGCTTCCTTCCTGGGCCTCCTGGTTCTCGTCTCTCCTGGGAGCAAGGCCAGCAGGGCAGCTGGAGATGCTTCAAGTGCTGTGTGGTCATCCACATTCCCCTGTGATGAGGTACAGCCCTGCTTCTCCGGGTGATGGACCAAGGGGGTGTCTAGATGGAGATGGTTTGTACCTCACTGAAGATGTGCTCCTGGCCTCACTAGCTAGGAGCCCCGGCTTTGCTCCGGACCCTGGCTCTGCATCTGGCCTCTCCCTGAGTATGGTTTTAACATCACTGTGGTTGTTCAGTTGCTCAGTCATCTCTGACTCTGTAGCCCCACGGACTGCAGCATGCCAGGCTTCCCTGTCCTTCACCATCTCTCAGAGCTTGCTCAAACTCACGTCCATTGAGTCAGCGATGCTATCTAACCATCTCATCCTCTGCCACCCCCTTCTCCTTTTGCCTTCAATCTTGCCCAGCATCAGGGTATTTTCTAGTGAGTCAGTTCTTTGAATCAGGTGGTCAAAGTATTGCAGCTTCAGCATCAGTCCTTCCAATGAATATTCAGGGTTGATTTCCTTTAGGATTGACTGGTTTGAGAGTCTTCTCCAACATCGCAGTTCAAAAGCATCAGTTCTTCAGCATTCAACCTTCTTTATGGTCCAACTCTCACAACCATACATGATTACTGGAAATAGCATAGCTTTGACTATATGGACCTTTGTTGGCAAAGTAGTGTCTCTGCTTTTTAGTACGCTGTCTAGGTTTGTCATAGCTTTCCTTCCAAAGAGCAGGCACTCCTAGCACTAGAGTTATGTAAAAGCTTCTGGACACCAAATTTTGTGGATTCCATCTCTAATTACTGCTGCATGGACTCTGAGGAGGGGAAGCTACATCTAGATTGAATCTTCATCTCTCTAGAAAAACCAGTCAGTTGTTTACACAGCTTCATGGCAGATTGTTTAGAACTGGGAACCAGGTGTTTCCAAGCATCCCTCTGTTAATCTAGTTGGCTTACAAACAGCCGATGAGCCCTTTCAAGCCGTGGGCTCTGCAGTTCACCAGGCTACCCTGGGCCATCCCCAAACGACTCCTAGTTACCACCAGTCTGACCTGCCCCACAAGAGGGCCAGACCAGCCCCTGCAAAGGCCAGACTGCCGCCAGCTTGCCCAAGTTACTAAGAGCCCCAGCAAAGAGGGTCTTGAACCTGTGCTTCTTTGCCCCTCTCCCAGGAATCTGGTACAATATCCTCAGAGGCGTCGGGAAGCTTGCCGTCATTATCAACGTAAGTGACGTGGGGACCTCAACTGGCTGAGCTGCTGCGCAGCCGGGGCCCCTTCCGGGAAGCTGATCTCCAACTGCAGCCTCGGGCAGCCCCACTGAGGGACTGCCTCCTGGGTCTGCTGAGGAGTGGGGGCGAGTTCCAGGCGTGAATGACACAGCTCTTCAGCCGTTCTCCACAACCCTGGGCAACACCCTCCACTGCGCCCACCTTGGTCCCTAAGTCCCCTTTCTCCCTGGAGTCCTGAGAGAAGGAGATAGAGCCAGACAGGGCAGAGGGAGACCCAGAGAGAGAGTCCTCATCAGCAGCTCTTCTGCCCTTTAAAACAGTTAATTTTTTCTCCTTTATGAGAAGCTCACACCTGCTCTTTAAAAAAGGTTTGGGAAATGAAACATGGAGAGAAGAGGAACCTGCTAGCCAAATACATACACACACACACACACACATACACACACACACATACATACACAGAGACAGACACAGACACACACACATACATAAACACAGACACACACACGTACATACACACAGATACACACACTCACACACATACATACACACATACACACACATACATACACACACATACACACACACACACACACCTGTGTGCGTGTGAGCTGCTGGGAACAGCACCCCACCATGGCCCTCTCTGCCCCCGCATCTGCTCCTCACCTTCATGACACATGAACCCCAAGTATGAGAACCTCAGAGTGTCTGCAGTCCTATGGCCCTCACCCCTCCAACCCACCGGCCGAGCCTGAGCCCCTCAGAAGCTGCCACCTTGCATCTTGGGGCGGGGCAGGCAGACAGCCCCCCGGAGCAGATGGTCAGTCATGGGGCTGACTCAGTCCCCATAGCACAGGAAGTGATGCTCAGCCCAGACAGAGACCCTCAGACACCTGGGACCTGCTGTCCCTGCGGGCAGGCCGCCCCCATCAGCCACCCACTCCTGCTGGCTTAAGGCTTTGAAACCCGTCCATAAAGGGAGGCTGTGGGCAGAGCTCGTCCACCCATCCAGGCTGAGCCGGGGGCCACGTTTTAAGGAGGTACAGTCCCTCTGTGTGCAGTGTAAGCGTGGGGTGCTGTGACCAGAGCAGCCGGGAACAAGCGGGGCATCTCGTGAGAACAGCCAGCTGCCACGATAACAGTGACAGCAGCATCTTGAACGTTGCAGACCCTGCTAAGGCCTTTTCGCAGACTACCCAGCAGTGCACACGTGGCCCCTGCAGGCAGGGGTAGTGCCCCATCTTGCGGATGATACAGCTGAGGTACACAGCGGTCAGGCCACTTGCCCAGGGTCACCCAGCCAGCGAGAGGCAGAGCTGGTCTTTAGGCCTTCGGGTCCCTGCCCCACCACTGGCATCATACCACGTTGCCCCAGGGACTGCCCCAGCATAGGGGAGTTGTGTCTGGACTTTACAGTCTACAAGGCACCTTCCCTCCGTGCCTCATTCCCTTTCAAACAACTCAGGAAGGAGAGGCACCTCCCATGGGTGCAGTTAGCCCTGTCTGGCAAGAGGAAATGCAGACACAGAGAGGTCAGGCACTTGCCCAGGGCCACCCAGCCAGCAGGAGGCAGCCAGCATTGCCCCCCAGCCTCCTCGCTCAGGGGCACCCTGTTCCCATTCCCAGCGCTCTCCTCAGGATGCTGGAGGGGCTGACGGGGGTGCCCCCAACCCTTCATTCATTCACTTGGCGAGCCAGGGCCATGGGGTCACGTTTGCCAACGTGGGTCACTGGCCAGGCCCCAGGGCAGTACAGCCCAGGCTCGGGTGGGGCAGTGACCATCCCCGCTGGGGGCCACGCTGACCGCTCTGTTCCCTGGCCAGGCGTTTGTGATCTCCTTCACGTCCGACTTCATCCCTCGCCTGGTATACCTCTACATGTACAGCGAGACGGGGACCATGCACGGCTTCGTCAACCACACCCTCTCTTCCTTCAACGTCAGTGACTTCCAGAACGGCACGGCTCCCAGCGACCCCCTGGACCTGGGCTACGAAGTGCAAATCTGCAGGTACCACCCAGCAACTCTTTCTTTCTTTCTTTCTTTTTCTAACATATTTATTTGGCTGCGCCAGGTTTTAGTTGCAGCATGTGGGACCGAGTTCCCTGACCAGGGATGAAAGCCAGGCCCCCGGCATTGGGAGCTCAGAGCTAAGGCTGCCAGCCTACCAGGGAAATCCCCAGCAATGCTCTTTAAAGAGCCCCATTTGTGGGGCTTCTGGAAAAACCCCAATTCAAGCCAGAATTCTTTCCAGGCAAATCACAGAACAGGTCAATCTTGCTTCAGAGAAAGAAAAAAAAAAGATTCCTGGGTTGGAGGTTGTTTGTTGTTCAGTCATGTGTGACTCTTTGCAACCCCACGGATTGCAGCTTCCCTGTCCTTCACCATCGGTTGGAGGTAGGAGGTGATTTATCATTTCCTTTAACTAAGAAGTCCATGATAGCTTCAGGCACGGCTGGATCCAGGGACTGCCACTTGTCATCCAGGCCCATTCTGACACTGCCTCTCAACATGCCTCCTGCACGTTGGCATCATCTTCTGGCAGGCAGAAGGGAATCCCCCAGCAGTCCTCTCTACTCCAAAGTCCTGGTGGGAAGAATATTTCTTTCCCACTAGTCAGCAAAAGTCCTAGGATTGAGTCTCACTGACCTGCCTTGGGTCACACGCCCCGCCCCCCCCCCGAACCAACCACTGTTGCCAGAGTGCAGGGTCTCTCTTTGGTGAGGCCTGGGTTGTGTGCCAGGGTGTGGGGTTGTGGCCATAGATTTGGGGGCATCTCGAGGAAAACTGGGGTTTCAAACAAGGGGTCATGGATGCTGGGTGGGCAAAAGCAACAGATACCCGAGACAGTCATTCAGAGCAGGCGGGGAGTGCCCCAGGAGAGACGGAGGCAGGGATGGGATGTGGATGGTGGGGGCGAGGGGCACAGCCAGGCCTGGCCATTCACTCTGCATCTTCCATGCGCCAGCCTGGAGGGGTTAGGGGCTGGGGGCTCGGGTCTGGGGACTCGGGCACGGGCAACATGATCCCTGCTGTCCAGGACCTTGTACAGGGGACAGCAGAAGCGTAAACAGACCCAGTTAAAGGGGTAGTAGTAGCTGGAAGCCTAGGGGAAGGGGGGGCATGGGGGGCGTTCCAGGGAGACGGCGTGTGGCTGAAGGCAGGGTGGTGGGCATGGGTGGGCTCTGGAGCGTAGAGCGTAGAGGCCCAGCGTGGTGGACGGTGAGACCGAGGCATGGGGCAGGGGCCCCATATCCCGGCTCAGGAAACAGGACTGTGGTGTGATGGGCCACGGGCTGAGATGAGGCTGAAAGCAGGGGGCAGAGTGCAGACAGTGTGATCGCAGCTCGGTTAGTGCCTGCTAACAGTCTAAACCACCTGAGATTCAAAACAGGAAGACCACAGGGACCAGGACACGTGTCGCAAAGCCGCAGCGACGGAGCCCGGCCCTTTCTGCAGGGCGGTGTTTGCTCCAAGCCTGTCCACTCTCACTGTGCACCCAGCTCTGTCAGGCCCACCTGTCTGTCTTCACACCCTTGACCTGGCAGCAGGATGTGGGGGCGGCTGCCAGGGTCCAGGGTACTAACAGCAACGAGCTGTAGCTCATGGCTGAAGAAGAAAAACAAAACAAACAGGCCCAAGCAATGGAAAACAGCACACCTGGGGTCCCTGGAGCCGGCAGGCGGGCCCGCCCGCTGTAGGTGCGGCCGATGACTTTGACCAGCACCTGGCCCCGTGACCCCCCACCCAGGGATTAAATTACAAGACGTGCTGTGTTCCGGGTCAGGGCAGGGACTGCACTTAATCTGGGACCCACACAGGGGTGAACATGAGTCAGTTGGAGCCAGGCCTGCCAATGAGGGCAGACGACATGCTGCCTGCTGTTGAGAGGCCCACCCCTCGCACGTTTTAGGGCACACAGATGTGAGCAGATGCATCAAGGAGAGGCCGGGTGGTCTGCTCCAACTCCCGCGTAGCCGCCGTGGGCAGGGTCAGCCTGGAGAGCTGGGGGTCAAGGGCAACAGCTCAAGGCCCCTTCCTCCCCATCGTCAGCAGGCCCGGGCCCCAGAGACCCCCGAGCTTCCAGTTCGGGCCCCCCCGCTCGCCTCTCTTGCTTTGTTTGAACGCCCCACGCCAAGAACATGCTCAGGCTGACCTGTTTAACTCAAAATGAATTTCAGAGAAGAATGATTTAGAACAAAGAAGGCAGGGAGATAGGTGGTCGTTTTATTATAAATCCCCTCAAAAAACTGACAGGGTAAGCGTCAGTTTTCGAGAATGGAGCCCCGGGCACCCAGCCCTCCAAAGCAGCCCCCCATCTGAGCGTTGGTCAGGAGTCCTGGCCACACAGGGGGACAGCAGGAGAGCTGAGGAGATGGGGCAAAGACCCCGAGGGTTTGTGGGGGTTGTTTCTTGGTTTTTTGGCCCTGCCAGGTCTTAGTCGAGGCATGTGAGATCAGTCTTCCCTGCCGCATGCCGACTCTGAGTCGCAGCATGTGGGGTCTAGTTCCCTGACCGAGGATCAAATCCAGGCCCTGCGCGCTGGAAGCACAGACTCTTAGCTCCTGGGCCACCCAAACACCCCCTTTTTAAGCAAGACCCTTGCTACCTTTCCCCCACAGAGGTGGAAGGTCATGGGCCAGCCCTATCTGCTCCCTGGGACTCTGGCTTTAGTCAGGCCCACCTGTCCACTGGCCACAATTAAGTCCTGTGAGTGCTGTGAGCTCCACGCTGCCGGCTGCTCCCTGTCAGGCCACCTCCCAGGGGAGTCAGCTGCAGGTGGAGCAGCACCCAGCCCAGCCTGCGGCCGTGGGTGTGAAGAAAGCAGCTGAGAGCTGTGATCACTGCTGCCGTGTATCCCTGCCCTGCAACAAGCATGGTCTCGTTGAATGCTCACAGCCAGCTCCAGAGAGGGCATGAGCATCCCCGGTGGGGGGAGCTTGCAGGCTGAGTGCAAGAGCTGAGCCGGGAAAACAGTAAGATCGTCTCTGACAGAGGTCGGTGCAGGTGATGGGGCTTGGCATCTGGACACATCTATAAGTGGGCTTTGAGGTATGTATAGGAGTTCGCCGGGTAGCGCAAACACATTTCCCAGCACCCTAGTGCGGCTGGCCCTGAGCACAGAAGGAAGAGGGAGGAGCAGGGGCGTGCGGCTGCTGACAGTGGGAGAGCAGTGGCCGCTTGTTCCCACAGATCAGGTTGTACAACTTCTGCACGGCCCAGCAGCTGGCACCAGCGTGAGCGTTCCCTGCCCGATCCTATCTCTGGGGCTGGCAGCTTACTGGTGCCGGGCTCTCTGAGACGTCTGTCCTGTTGCCTCAGAAGACACGAAGCTCTATGGACGAGGGCCCCTGTCTGTGCCCCCCACCAACCCTAACCCCGGAATGGGGCCTGGTGTGCCACACTGCTTAGGGAATTCTTGGGACGTGACTCAGTGAGGGAATGCCAGGCCGAGGCACAGAGGGGTCGAGCGATGCCACGGGGACACACAGCGAGGTGGGAGCCAGGTCCGTGCTGTACCAGGCCCACGTCCCCAGCGCCAGGGCCTCCTCTCCTGGCCCCCCGATGGGGCCCCAGCTTTTCAGTGATGGGCAGAGTGCACCTACGGCCCTGTACCTACAAACTGCCCCGGCCGGGCTTCCTCAGACAGCCTTGGGGAAGCTCTTCCCACACAGAGAGGGTCGGCTCCATTAAAGCCGGGCACCCCAAATTTGGAGCAGCTGGGGGGGCCTGGGTGGGGAAAGAACCCCGGGCTCCCCTTCTTCCTCTGCCCCCACCTCGGGCATCTCTGAGCCTCTGAGAAAAAGGCAGAACTAGAGCCCTGGAAGCCCCGTGCCCCCGCCGCACACGGGGCAGAGGTGGGGCCTGGGGACCCTGGGAGTGAGTGCTGTCTCCCAGCAGGGCGTCAAGAGCCACGTCTAGAGCGATAAGAAGCTGGGTGGGCGGGTATTTATCGCTCGGAGGTAAGAAGGTAACGCTTGGGGGGAGGCGCCCTTCAGGCCCTGGGGCTGGCAGGGTGGCAGGGGACGGGATGGACCTGGAGACAGTCTCCTGGTGCCCTGACCGCACCAACTGTGTGTTTAGCCTTCATACATGGGCTGCTTTGCAAGAACGTTTCGTTTTTTGCAACAGTTCCCCCACAGAGGCGAAAGCCTGGAGAAGCAGTTTTCACACTGGATCTCACAGCATGTGGCCTGGAGTTCTGTGGATGCCAGGGGGCTGGGTAGAGGTTCTGGGTTAGGGACCCCACCCGCTTCCACCCAGAAGGCCCCATGCCCTCTGTGTGACCCACTGAAGTCTCCGGGGCGGGCGGTTCTTTTTGGTACCAGGGCTGCACTGCCTTCAGAGTTTGGGACCCCCAAGCCAGATGGTCCCAGAGCCCCCTTCTGTGGGCCCCCAGCTGGGCTTATGGGGACACCCCCTCAGGCCTGCCTGGCCCACATGGGCACCAGGGTCCCCTTCGGTGTGGGGAGAAGCCCCCCACACTGTGTGAGCCGGTAGGGCTGGGGCTGCCCTACAGGCGGCCCAGGCCCTCCTGACACGGGCCCGGCAGCGGGGCCGGACCCCAGCTCCTCCTGAAGACCCACCTCGCTTCTGCAGGTACAAGGACTACCGGGAGCCGCCGTGGTCGGAACACAAGTACGACATCTCCAAGGACTTCTGGGCCGTCCTGGCCGCCCGGCTGGCCTTTGTCATCGTCTTCCAGGTGCGAGGGCCTGCTCAGCTCCTGGAAGGGCTGGGGGCTGAGTCGCCAAGGAGGCGCTCTTGCCCAGAAAAGGGTCAGGACGGCAGGAACTGGCCGGGGTCGGGGGTTTGGAGGCTGGAGGACTCACCCTGGTCACCCCGGGGTGTGGGGTGGTGCTGGTGACCCCAGGCCCTAGGGAAGGAGGAGAGGTCCCATACCCTCCTGAGTTAAAGGAAGGTGGGAGGGACCGGAAGGATGGAGGAGGCAGGTCTAGTTAAACACAAGTCGTCTTTATTGAAGGAGACGAGAGGGGAGCCCCTTAGCGACCCCTGCACTGTGCAGCAGAAGATGCCCCCGCAGTCAGAGCTGGCAGGGACGGGAGGTGGTCAGGGCTGGCGGGGTCCCAGCTGACACCAGCCCCCACCTCCAGCAGGCAGGGGACCCGGCACTGCCAGGCCCAGTCTCTGGGGAGGGGAGCTAATCCTGAGGCCTGAGCAATTCCCAGGGGCCAAGATCCAGACCAGGAAGCTGACCGGTGCACACGGCACTGAGATCCCAGCTGGGGAGGTCGTGCTGGGGTTGCCTCCGATATGTCCCCCTAGCCCTGGGATCCCAGGAACTGGGGTCAAGCCCCAGCCCTGCCCCTCTACACATTGTGGCCCCCACCAGGACCCCCAGCCCCCAGGTCCCCCTGCCTCGACCAGCAGCCTTCCACAATCCACTGCAGTCAGACTAGTGTCTTGGGCCCAGTTCCCCAGAAGCTGAGCCTGAGACGCCGATTCTGGTGCAAGCGGGTTACCGAGGGAAGGCCTTGTTGTGGGGCAGGGGGTGGGGGCGTTGCTCAGCAGGAAGGGGACCTGGGCCGGCGCGTGAATCCTGCCACACAGTGGGCCCACCTTGATGCGGGAGAGTACTCTGGTCTGACCACGTGGCCTGTCATTGGCTTCAGGCTGGAACAGGGAGGCGGGAGGGGGAGGTTCCCTGCAGACAGGCCCCTGTGAGTGTCAGCGGCCACAGCTGGGGGCTAGGAGCGTCAACCAAGAAAGATGATGGGGGACGGGGGAACCGGCGCCCGCTATGGCCAGTCAGCTAACTCAGCCACACCTGCTCACGAGTGCTGGTCAGATGGAAGTTTGAAAACTAGAGATTTCCGTCAGTCTGTGAAAGCCAACTCGTCTGCAGGCTACAGACCAGAACGTGAGCAGGAAGGCGGCTGGCATGGATTCAGGGCAATCCTGGGAGGCCTGACAAAGGGCAGGAGGGCCTGCGGAGTCCTCAGGGATGGTTCAAGCTCCATCTGTTTTGTGTTCTTTGCATTTTAACTATTTTCCTTTGAAGCCTTAACACTTGTTGTATTTAGTGATGTGTAACCGATTCCGTGGTAGCTCAGCTGGTAAAGACTCCGCCCGCAATGCAGGAGACCTTGGTTCGATTCCTGGGTCGGGAAGTTCCCCTGGAGAAGGGAAGGGCTGCCCACTCCAGGATTCTTGGGCTTCCCTGGGTGGCTCAGCTGGTAAAGAATCGGCCCACAATGCGGGAGACCTGGGCTCCATCTGTGGGTTAGGAGGACCCCCTGGAGGAGGCAATGGCCACCCACTCCAGTGTTCTTGCCTGGAGAATCCCGTGGACAGAGGAGCCTGGCGGGCTACGGTCCATGGGGTCGCAAAGAGTCGGACACGACTGAGCGACTCAGCACAACCAATCAGATCGTTTCTTACGCCTGGAGATTCAGAGTCATGCAGACGGTTTTCCGGCTTAAGAGGCCCTACTTCCTGTCTCATTTATGCCCTCCGGGGAGACCAAGGCCGGGTAGCTGCAAGTTGTATTTGAGGTCACAGGGCCGGGGTGATGGGCGGGGCAAGGCGGTGTCCAGTGGGGCGCAGGGCGAGGTGGAAGCGTTTCCGGGGTCGCCCTTCCCAGCCCCCCGACACCGACTCTCCTTCCAGAACCTGGTCATGTTCATGAGCGACTTTGTGGACTGGGTCATCCCCGACATCCCCAAGGACATCAGCCAGCAGATCCACAAAGAGAAGGTGCTCATGGTGGAGCTGTTCATGCGAGAGGAGCAGGGCAAGCAGCAGCTGCTCGACACGTGGATGGAGAAGGACCGGAAGAAGGCGGAGCCCTGCAGCAACCACGGCCCCGCCCCCGCCGCCCCGCCCCCGCCCCCGGGCGGCCCCGACTGCCCCGCAGGCGCCCTGTAGCCGCTGGGCCGCCGCGGCGCGCGCACTCTCTCCTTCCCTGGCAGGCGGCTTCTCACACCCACCTGGCCCGGGGGCTCCTGGGTTTGTGGCAAACCTGGAAAACCGCCTTCTAGTAGGACAGCGTTTCTCCATCTTTTTCTACTTTGTTTCGTTTTCTCTTGTTTTTGCACAAAACCATTATGCAGGGAATCCTGTTCTGTTTAGTGTTCAGCGTTAATCAAAATGATTGCTGGGGCAGGGTGGCATGCAGCAGATGCAGGTGTTTTGTGGATGCGATGCTTGCAGTCGGGGGTCTCCTTGGCAGTTGGGGAGGTGAGCCCCCAAAAGTCATCTCTTTAAACCCTCCAGATGCCGTTAAGAAAGGTGAGGTGGAATTCCAAGGCATGGGGCAAAAGCTGGTGAGAGATTTGAGAGCAGAGAAATGGATGAGGGATAAACGATATTGACACCCGTTCCAAACGACGTCACCTGTCTCTAGGTGGAGAAAGTGAGATTGTTTCATCACCTTTTCCTTCCACGGGTTCAGACACCGAGGCACTGCTCAAAATGAGAGGTGCCCTGGCTGTGTCACTCAGACAGCCCGGGAGCCCCAAATTTACTCTTAGGGGAACTAGCAGGGTGCGGGTGTTCTGCATGAGCAGTGACAGGCACCTCTGGTGTCCCCCCTGTCAGCCGTGCACCTCCCCCCACCACACCGAAAGAGAAAGCGATAGTTGCTCGGTTGGTGTCTGACTCTGAGACCCCATGAACAGTAGCCCACCAGACTCCTCTGTCCATGGAATTCTCCAGGCAAGAATACTGGAGTGGGTTGCCATTCCCTTCTTCAGGGGATCTTCCCGACCTGGGGTTCGAACCTGGGTCTCCTGCATGGCAGGTGGATTCTTTACCGCCTGAGCCACCAGAAAGGCCGGCGGGGTGACAGAAGAAGGAGCGGTGAGGGGTTCTGACCTCGGAGGTGTTTCTGCAGACAGCTGCAGGGCTTCCAGATGTCTTAAGGCTTCCAGGGGTACTTTTGCAGCTTCAGCATATTTATTGGGTTGTTGGTTTTTTTTTTAATCAGTTCTACAGTGGATGTAAGGGTTTTTTCCTCTGTAGCTCAAAGGTGGAAGGCATTCATTTTATTAGCTAACCAAATATCATTGAGAGGAATTTAAACTACTGTTACTACCAAAGATTTTTATTAATAAAGGCTTCTATTTTGGTAACACTTCTCTATATTTTTACTTACAGGAATGTTACTGTTGGAAATTTTCATTTTAAAAAACTTGTAAAAACAAACCTCATAAGCTGATAGGAATGGTCTCAACTTGCAGCCCCATTATACTAACTGATGATCTGAAGTTTCTCAAGCATGCAGAGAAATGTAAGAGAAATGTTCCAGTAAAGGGAGGGGCGAAAACACGAACATGCTTGTCTTGAACGTGTGGTTGGTGAGCGCGGACATTTCCCATCAGCTGTCGATTAGGAGGGACGTCCGCAGGTGTCATAGCTTTTTGTTATTTGCTAAAATCATGCCATCTGATGCTTCTGCTTTCTCTTGTACAGTAAGTAGTTTGAAATGGGGTTTTTGTATATAAACATTGTATTAAAGATGAGGTGATTACCGAATATCCTTTTATGGAAACCATTTCTTTTTTAAAAAGTGAATGTACACAGATTCACAGAGACTGAACATGCATCTGAATAAATTTGTATACACGACATCTTCCTTCCAAACCCTGTCCACATGACTTCTGCCCCCAGAAACTCAAGGGGCCAACCTCAGAGCCCCGTGATTGAACCTGCAAATTCAGGGAACTCATAAGCCTCCATTTCCTCGACACGGGACAGCAGACCCGTTCTGGATGTTCTTGGGGCTTTATCCAAGAGGATGTGCATGCGCGTGGCTGTGTGGACCTGTGGGTGCACGTGTGTGATTGTGCCTGTGTATGCGTCTCTGCGTTGCTTTGTCTACACCTATGCACAATTGAAGGCAGACTGAGAAGGGGGTGGCAGAGGAAGAGATGGTTAGATATCATCACCGACTCACTGGACCTGAGTCTGAGCAAACTCACGGAAATGGTGAAGGACAGGGAAGCCTGGCGTGCTGCAGTGCGTCACATAGAGTCGGACACGACTGAGTGACTGAACAACATCAATGCATGCATGTACACGTATGTAGGGGGTGGGGTGGGCACACCTTTCCAGCAGCCTCTTCCATGATCCCTAAACCCCATCCCCTGGTCCTGACAGCCCGACAGAGTAGTATTGAAGATTTCGTGGACCTAAAATTGCCCCCAGACCTTTAGGGGACCATCCAGGATGGCCAGTGTGTTTTCTTTTTTTCTATTAATATACTTATTTCGCTGGGTCTTTGTTGTGGCCTGTGGACTCTTAGTTGCGGCCTGTGGGATCCAGTTCCCTGACCAGGGATCAAACCCAGGCCCCCTGCGTTGGAAGCATGGAGTCTTAGCCACTGGACCATCAGGGAAGTCCTGCCAGTGTTTTCTTTTTTTTAATATATGTTTATTTACTTATTTGGCTGCGCCGGGTCTTAGTTGCAGTTTGTGAACTCTTAGTTGAGGCCTGTGGGATCTAGTTCCCTGACCAGGGATCAAACTCGGGACCCCCTGCATTGCACGCCGGGGAGTCTTAGCCACTAGACCATCAGGAAAATACCCCGCCAGTGTTTTCATTTGGGCAAGTGGGGACACTTTTTCTTTAACCCATCACCTATAATCACCATCATTTCTTGGAAGGCTCTCTTTTGCATCCAAACCAGTGAGGCCTCAACCGCAGGCCTATAGGGCACCCCTGGTGCTATCATGTCCCCAAGGAAGTCTCAGCAAACCTGAGCCCGAGAGGCCCTGGCTGCCCTGCCATCAGGAACGTCCTTAAAGCTTGAAACCACCTCCTCAGTCCTGCTGAGGGCGGATCCCAGTGCCAGCGTCGCCAGAAGACCCCCCCCTCTCGTGGGGCCTCCCAGGGGCCTGAGAGGCTCACAGGGGAACTTTAGCCCCTCTGGGCTGTGGGGAGACGTCTCAGAGTGGGGCGGTGACCCCCCCAAGAGCACAGGGCTCCCTGACACCAGAGTTTACAGACAAGCATCCCTGCAATGTTCAAGAAGCAGCCAGGAGCAAGGCAGACAGAGCCCCGTCCCTCAGGGGTGAACTCTTGCAGGGGGCATCGGATGCAGAGCGAGAAAAGGCACCCCAGCACAGCATCATCTCAGAGGAAGGATGGGGTGCTGATGAAAATAGAACAGGGATGTGGCCGAGGGTCACTCAGAGTGACCGAGTTGAGCAGGAAGGCCCCCAGAGTCTGAGCAAGGAGGAGCTGGAATATAAAAGCCTGGAGAAAGGCAAGCGGTTCCAGCAGCAGAGGCATGCACAAAGGCCCTGAGGCAGCCGCATGCTGGGCAGGTTGTAGGGGCAGCAAGAAGTCCATCACGTATGAGGGGCGCAGGGCGGGAGGTGGGGAGTTGGGAACCTGCGCACACCAGCCCCCCGGCTCCCCGAAGACTTTGACCTTGGCGGTAAGTCCCTGGCAGGGGCTGGCGGCCTCCACCAGGGCAGGGATGGAGCTGATTCACACATGTCGAGGTCTTGGTGGTGTTGGGTGGAGACTGCAGAGGGGTTGGGAGCCAGGGAGGAGAGATGCAGAAATTGAGGTGAGCAATGCAGGCCTTGGACAAGAGTGGGAGGAGGCGGTGGGGGAGCCACCAAATTAACTTCACAAAGACCTGGGCTCTGGCAGCGGAAGGACCCCCAGAGATGAGCGGGGCAGACGGCATCGTTATTTCCCAGACAGGCACAGTGACAGTGACACCCAGACAGGGTCAGGGCTCCTCTCTAGTCTCACTGCAAGCGGCCCCCACAGCCGCCCCTCGGACCCAGGCCCCTGGCCCCCGGTGCCGAACGGTGTCTGCTCCTGGTGCCTGCAGGGGAGTGGCGGGAGCGGGCCAGGGCTGAGCCCCAGCATGGAGGGTGAAGGACTGGTGCTCCTGGGGGGCCTGAGGCCCAGGGCGGGGGTCACTCATGCCAGTGACTGATCCTGAAGGTGAAGGCCGCCTTGAGCTGCGGCCGGCCTTAGACACCTCTGTGTGGTTCAGTGCTTGTTAAATTTTCTTTGTTAATTTAATACATAAAAGGGCTTCACTGGTGCTCAGGCGGTCAAGAGTCTGCCTGCAATGCGGGAGACCTAGATTTGATCTCTGGGTCAGGGAGATCCCTTGGAGAAGGGAATGGCAACGCACTCCAGTATTCTTGCCTGGAGAACCCCATGGACAGAGGAGCCTGGTGGGTTACAGTCCATGGGGTCGCAAACAGTCGGACACTACCGAGCAACTGATGTTTTCACTTTTCAGTATAGATAAAACTGCACAGATCCAAAGTATACAGTCAATTGCCACAAAATGCACACGCCTCTGTAACCGGCACCCAGAGAGGCCTCTGGTCCCTTCTGGTCAGCCCTCCTCACCCAGCTGTAACCCTGGTCCCTACCCACCGTCCTGACTTCAGCAGCTGGTTTGAAAGAGGAGAGTGAAAAAGTTGGCTTAAAGCTCAACATTCAGAAAACTAAGGTCATGGCATCTGTTCCCATCACTTCATGGCAGATATATGGGGAAACAGTGGCTGACTTTATTTTTCTGGGCTCCAAAATCGCTGCAGATGGTGACTGCTGCCATGAAATTAAAGGACGCTTGCTCCTTCGAAGAAAAGCTATGACCAACCTAGACAGCATATTAAAAAGCAGAGACATTACTTTGACAACAAAGGTCCATCTAGTCAAGGCTATGGTTCCAATAGTCACGCATGGATGTGAGAGTTGGACTATAAAGAAAGCTGAGCACCGAAGAATTGATGTTTTGGAACTGTGATGCTGGAGAAGACTCTTGAGAGTTCCCCTGGACTGCAAAGAGATCAAACCAGTCCATCCTAGAGGAAATCAATCCTGAATATTCATTGGAAGGACTGATGGTGAAGCTGAAACTCCAGTACTTCGGCCACCTGATGCGAAGAACCAGCTCATTGGAAAAGACCCTGATGCTGGGAAAGATTGAAGGGAGGAGGAGAAGGGGACGACAGAGGATGAGATAGCTGGATGGCATCACCAACTCGATGGACATGAGTTTGAGTCAACTCCGGGAGTTGGTGATGGATGGGAGACTTGGTGCGCTGCAGTCCATGGGGTCGCAGAGAGTTGGACTGGACTGAGCGACTGAACGGAGTTTGCCCGGTTTCACTTGTGTGTGGCTGCTGCCCTCTTCTGGCTGCCTGTGGGAGCTGCACTTGGGGATGGACGAGACTGGGCACTTGAGGCCTTGTGTTGTTTCTGTTTGCTGCCCTGGAAATGACCATGAACCTAGTGACCACTACAACAACGTACTGTCTTACAGACAGGCGTCTGACACAGGCCTCGCAGAGCTAAGATGAAGGTGTGGGCGGGGCTGGGCCCTTCCCACCATGTCTGGCCACAGCAGCCAGTCTTTCTCCCGCAGCTGTCTCTCCAGTTCTCTGCTCATGAGGACCCAGCTTGCACTGACTCCCCAGGGTGACCTCCCCCCACCTCAGAGTCCTTCGGCTTCATCACACCCAGGGAAAAAACTTTATATTTTGGGAAAAAGACTAACTGCCTCCAAGCAAAGCCCACAGTGCCCAGATATCTATGGAAAGGCTTCATCAGGAATGAGAGAGATCAAAACAAACAGGAGGAGGAGGCTGGCGGGACACTGAGATGACACAAGAGAAAAAGAAAGAAAAGCAACTCTGTTCATCATCCTTGGGAGTAAAGGCCAAGGTGCATGGGCGCCCCAGGTGGCACAGCAGTGAGGCATCCACCGGCCAATTCAGGGGACGCATGTTCAGTCCCTGGGTCAGGAAGATCCCCTGGAGAAGGGAATGGCAACCCACTCCAGCATTCTTGCCTGGAGAATCCCAGGGACAGAGGAGCCTGGGGAAGCATGGTCCATGGGATTATGAAAGAGTAAGACGTGATTGAGCACACAGGCTTGTAGCAGTAGTTCATGCATTTTCAGTGCTGGGCGTGCTCCACCCTGTGAGCGAAACGCAACAAACTATCGCTTATTGCATATGCTTTGGTGGTAAACTTATTGCAATTACAAGTCACACTGCCGAGATCTTCCTGCATGAGCTGGTCACTGTGTGTGCGTAGCAGTTCCTCCAGGACAATTGGCTGCTTGTCTGTGTGTGGCTCACAAGCTGGGAATGACCTGCATATTTGAAATGGTTGGGGGGGGGAGAATATCTGTGACATGAGAATATTATATGGAATGCAAGTTTCAGTATCTACGAATAAACTACTATTGGAACATAAAAAAAGACCAGTATGCCTCCATAAAACCGGAAAAAGATGCTTTTTCTTTCTTTTGGTTGGGGGGGGGAGAATATCTGTGACATGAGAATATTATATGGAATGCAAGTTTCAGTATCTACGAATAAACTACTATTGGAACATAAAAAAATACCAGTATGCATCCATAAAACCGGAAAAAGATGCTTTTTCTTTCTTTTTTAAGAGGCAATGCTAAGTGAAAGGAAAACACGAAAACTAGATGTCACCAAAATTTGGGGGGGGGTCAGAGGATACCCAACCAAATGAAATGGCAATTCAC